AGTCCGAGAAGCCGGGTGTTCGACTGACCACGTGATCCTTGTTCAAATCCTTGAGACTAAGTTGAGGCTTGTGTGCACCATTGAAACCGTAAGTGAAATTGAAAGGCTAGTCGATGGATGGCATAAGATGTGACACTTTTTGACAATTATATTCAAGCACTATTTCTTATATGTCCCCGGCCTTGTTTCACATCCGGTTTTTTTGTGAGACATTTCAATGGATGTAAAGAATGTGCTAGCAAGTACCGAGAGTGAACGAATAAGAGGAACTCGCACAATGTAAGATTTTGTCTCAAAACAGTGTCAAAATCACTGACTGATGGATTCAGAATCTACAGCTCAATCTTTTCTCTACAGATCCTCAAATTTTTGGGTAGTCCTATGTAAAATAAGTGTCGGTTTTATTCCCGAATGATCTGGAGGCGATCTGTTGAGAATTGAGTCCAAGCGAAGGCAATTTTCAAACTCTAGTCCATTTTCAACCCGATGTTACCCATAGTATGAGGGTGTAGAGACGTTGTCAAGCAAGGTAATGCCGCAGAACTTTAACTAATCACAAGCGCTTGCTGGACCGCAAAGCGGTCCGGCATCCTCTTTGCCAGTGGCGAATTGAAGGGGAGATTGCTGAGATTTAAAAGGGGGATGAGAGTGGTGCTTTATTCCAGACATAGCGTATTTTTCGATCACATCTTCCACAAGCCAGATCGTTTCTCTCATCCATATTTGACGGCCGCCGAATTCACAGCTAGATCGCTGCTCTGGACAAAGTAGTTTTCGACCTCACGCTCGCACCAGGTCTCGGGCTCCTCCGGAATAATTCCGTCGGCGAAGTAGCCTTGGACCACCTTGGTTGCGCATCTCGTGGTGGGGGTTAGGTATGAGTGGCCTGTGCGGACCGGAATCAGCGAAGGGGTATGATACGGACACAGTTAAAATACCCACCCGCGGCCCCTTGGACGAGGTGGCGCGCGGAGGAGCCCATTGTCTCGCGCACGATCTTTCCGGCCGCGTATGGGGTTACTGGGTCATCTGCAACCAAAGTATTAGACGCCATTAGAGGATAGAAAGGACTTGCGTGTGTTCGAAACGATGAGCATCGGAGTAGCCAGTGTTTTCTGGACAAAGATGAACAGACGTTCAGACCCAATTACCCAAGGCACTCACATTCCACGGTCCCTGTGTAAATCAAGCTCTTGAACATGATTACGAGGAATCGATTTCGATAACTTACAGTAAACCGCTCAGGCCCGACACCCGTCCCCGGCCAAAATGGCAGCCCCATGCTGTTCCATCAGGTGAACACTGAGAAAATGCCCCATTCAAGCACCGGGAAACGCGCGACAGGCAGCAACTCACGTAGCTCCGAAGCGTGGGTACTCCCCCAACGTGACCAAAATGTCGTCGACGATCCCTTCGGCAGTCGGCCACGCCTCGCCTGGCTTGTATGCTCGGGCGTCGCCACACGAGATCGCCAGGCGACCCAACTCATCTTGGCCAGTATACACGTAGCCTCGGGGTCGGCAGGCGGCTCCGGCGCGGTGTACTTGTGCGCAATGAGCCGCATGAGCGGGGCGCCGTCGGCATCATTGATCGCGCTGGCCAGCATACGCGCATAAAGCGCCCAGGATTCAGGCATTTGTGTCATGTTGAAAAATGTGCCTGGGGTTGCCGAATAGATCAGGACGGGCATGGATGAGGAGGGGAGGTGGAAAGGATACTTCGCACACCGCCAGAGGTCAGGTATCCGGGGCGGGTGTAGTTGGATACCATCATCGGCTGGTCCTGGAGTTTGTCGATGAACGCGTCGATGCGGTCTTCAATGTCTTGTGGGCCAGTGTCCCCAGCATTCGAGAGCGCGCAGTGGCGGGGACCGGCCTTGGCGCAGTCACTGAGGTACAGTTGGTATGTTTTCCTGTGTAGCTTGAGTTATTTTGCGCATGCGAACCGTACACTAAACTCACTCGGAGTCCGTAAGGAAAAGGCGAAGGAGAACTTGAGAATCATACTGCTCATTGCTCCACCTTTGTAGACGTTAGAGAGGCTCTCAAAAGCGCGCAGGTTGCGTACATGTCTCCGGGTACTATACCATCTATAAGGATCTTCCCAGACTTGTGCGGCAGCATGTTGCCCAGATACGCGCCCACAATAGAACCTACGTAGAGTCAGTCCAAAAACTTGGAGAGAGAAATACGCTTCGCATGCCGTAGGACTGGAAAAAAGGGTGAGAGCCAGATGTCGAATCAAGAATGACCACTTACGCCTCCCACTGCGGCCGCATGGTGTAAGCCGTACGAAACTGACGAGAGGGAATAAATCTCACAAAATTGATCAACGCATCCTCGCCCTCCATCACCCGCGATATCTCCTCCATGTCATAGATCGTCGTAGTCGTGCTCATGTATCCCAGCGCCTCAGCTCCCACCGTCTGCGCGCACACTGCCCCTGCGTCTGCTCCAGCGCGAGCGCCTCCTTCTGCTGCTCGATCAACACCGCGCGGCCCTCCGCCGAGAACGGGTCTTTCGGGACGGAGAACGTCGTCTCGAACACTGTGTTGGTTTTGAATTGTTCATATGCGAGAGCCGACCCGAAGCAATTGACCTTTGGGAGCGAGTGTCCGAGGCCGCGCTGGTCGAAGGAGACGATGTCGTGCCTGTTTCCCGTGAGGTTCTGGACTCGCGGGGCGATGCCGAAGGAGGCGTCGCGACCGGGACTCCGGGACCACCGTGCTAGTTTTCGAGGGTTGTATTAGTATACTTGGACTGTTTGAGATCTAGAAGTAGTATGCACATTTGTGATGATGATTCCGAGACGTTCGGTTTTGGACACGAAGCAGGTAGTTCGTCAGGGCGAGCTTGGACGTTCCAGCGGAAGGATTGGAGTAATCTGTTGAAACTCTAGACGTGATTTCGTTTGTATTATGTATAACGTCAACATGAGAGACGGCGACTCACTCCAAGTATCCACACAAAAATGAAGGGTTCTCGTGGCATGGCTGCCAGTCGATTGCCGATACTGGCTTGTCGATTGCCGATACTGGCTTACCGGAAGGTCGCTGTCACCACGTTCAATAAATGGCAGAAACTTCGTCGATGAAGAAGATATTTACCGACAAAAATGGCAAAGGCCAATACAGTACCCCGCAGAAAAGGGGAAGAGCACGAATATCGTCCGGAACTTCAATTTCTGCTTCGTAGTCAAAGCGAATGGGACGTGCTGTGGAAGCACTTCATTACTTTCAAACTTGCAACCTGCAGCATTGGAGTTCTTCATCCCAGCAAGCAGTACAGAGTCCAGATCAACGTCACCGAAGTCGAACACGGGCCATATCATTTGTAAGATTGATCCCATCAATGATTCTCGAGTTACGACAGGGGCTGGACGGACTGTCCGATTTCAACCAACTTCAAGGTTGGAAAAGCATACGCGCTCAGTTCTAACCATCATATTTCCTCATATCTCCCATTCGCCAATATTGAGCAACACGGTCAATAGCCCGGCGCTATGGGAATTCGGGATTGCTTGCGATCTTCCGATTCAGGCACGTTCCCAGCGACTGCGCATGCCACGAGCAGTTGCGGAAACCTTGAAACCATCAATCCGGGAATCTACAAAACTGCCGCGTAGACTGCAATGGACCCCATCCAGCCAGCTACGGCTTCAATGGCAGCAAATGGCATTTTACATTCTCTCTTTTCTTTTATATCTTCGCACAGGGATGCCCCAATGGGACGCAGAGTCTGCATTGCATGGATCTTTCTCTTGGCCAACGGGGCTTTTACTCGCTGGGTTTCAGGCAATGGAGATTGGTCATACACGCTGACTTCCTCACCCTCTGCGGGCTTCGTGAATTAGATAGGAAGCCACCGTATTCAACTCCTTGTTAGTCCCAGTAAACTGGCTGTTCCAATTTGGGACCACGTCAGTATAAATATCTGCTCCTCCTCCATCGAAACCTTATACTCAATCACGGTGAATATTCACCGGAATTCTCTTGCAAACCTGGGGGTGCATTGAGTTCCCACCTCCAAACTCAACCTTTCTGAACCGCAACCAGAAATCAACCCGTGCTCTCACGGGAGTTTGCATATAAATTTTACTGAGCGCCGAATCCAAAGCAGAGTGTCGGGTGCACCAAGTGGCACAGGTATTGAACGAAGCATCAAGGAACTGTCATGAGAGAAGGCTTTCTTTTTGCAGTATGAACTTGTTAAGATATCTTGAATGTCACAGAAAGGTTTAAGCATGAGAACGCTCAGTGGTGATGGTCCCATCTGCACACTTCATCTTGATACACAGGAGCCTGTTCGATCAGGCCCAAGCCATGAGGTCACATGAATCTTTTGGGCTGCAGAAATTGTTTTGTTGACGATTCCTTGGCGGTCCAGACTAATCAAAATCATGTGAGCTCACAATGAGCTAGGATGTGCAGAGCGGCGGCAGTGAATTGTACATTTGATTGACACGTGACTATCGTTCAATTCTTGTGCGCGTCTTTCACGCATTTCGAGAGGCCCAGATCCAAAGCCAAGGTCCGTGGCGGATATCTCTCACCTGTGGTGGCGAGCATAAAACCCGCGGAGACACATGTTCGATCCAGACCCAAGTCATATGTGTCTTGAGGTTTTCTTTTTGATGTCTTGCCTGCTCCAACTTGGATGCCTGTTCTTCCGACGGGACGGTAGCATACAGCACACATGGATATTTAGGTGAGCAGAGGGGTTGTCGTTGGCTCTGTTTTCTACTTGTGAAACCAGGCAACCCGGCTCTGCAGCGCCCGCCTGATTGGTAATTTTGGATCCAGACACAAACCTAACCATGCCCACCGTTGCGAGCAATACATAGATGACCCGGTGGCAGTCCAAACCCCGTGTGCGCATCGCTGCGCACTTGGCAGAAGATGTTCGATCCAGGCCCGAGTCATGGAACAATTGTTGTTTTTGCACGTGGAAGCCACCTCTGCTAGCCCCACTCTTATTGTTGTCCCAGAGAAGCGCAGTAGAGGCTTGGTGGTGTACTTGGCATGTCTGCGCCATATGAATACTTTCTAGGTAATATATACATGCAGAAGGCGCCTGTTCGACTCAGGCCCAAGCCCTATTGTGTAGTGTTTTTTCCCTTGACGTACATGCTTTATTTCAGAACACTTTGTGGCACCCATGTCATCTTGTGAGTCGACAGTGCATGGATTGGAGGTGTATGGTACATGGGTCCACACCGCAACAAATGCAAAAGAAGGTGCCTGTTCGACTCAGGCCCGAGCCGTTCATTGGAATCTAGACCACAGTTCTTTTTTGATAGGCGGATATCAACTCAACGCCATCCCTCGTCGACACTTGGACGCTGGAGTACGCATGCGCGAATAGAATACGAACGACGTCTGACCCATGTCTGTGCCGAGTAGATGCTGAGTTGCAGAAGGAGCCTGTTCGATTCAGGCCTGGGCCATAGGTGACAGGGAATTCCTCTTTGGAATTTGTACCCAGCGACTCGAAGCCCAGAAATTCACCCCTCGTGCACCGGGGTGTATGTATGATATGAGAAGGGCTCGGTGGTGCATGGCACACGTCTGCACTCGATAGCATCTTGCAGATACAAGAGCGCCTGGTCGAATCAGGCTCGAGCCTTCAGCGTTGATACAGTATATTTTTTGGCGCAAATGTGTTTTGTTCGGGGACGTTCAACTTCTCCGAGGAATGTTAGTTTATTGGACGGTACAGCCAAGGTGAGAAAGGCCCGGTGGTAGATGGACCACATATGTGCGCAGTCATTCCGAGGACATGAATGTCAATGCTGCCAGCAGGAGGAACCTGTTCGATTCAGACCCGAGCCATTGCCCAAGAGAGCAGAATTATTTTTTTCGCTAACATTAGTACTGCAGAGATGACAATGAATTTAATGCAACGTTCTTGAGAGGCAATGCAGCGCTCAGCGAGAATGCCATGATGCCATATATGAGGTGGATGAGAGCTAGCGGATGCACGTAACGCGTCGCCATGAAAAACACGAAATATGGTCGCCATATGCATCATTAGAGACATGCTGACCGGCAAGTAAATAAGAGAGATGGCAAGCCTAAGAGCCGACTCGTGGACAAGAAATGCCGACTTATTGAAGACCGTCCAGACAGAGGAAGGCTCGGTGGTGGATGGTCCACACCTGAGTAATAGAAGCTTCGCGGGAGACGCCTGTTCGATTCGGGCCCGAGCCATAGTATTGGTGAATGTTTTTTTTTTTGGCTAGGCGGCCACGTGTGGCAACAGCGAGACAGGGAAGATGATTCAAGAGGTCTGTTCGAATCTGGCCCGAGCCGCCGGGTCGGAAGGAAGCGATATTAATATTTTATCCAGCGGCTGAGGGCGGTGTGAGGAAGCTCCAGGAAGGCTCGGTGGTGGATGGTCCACGTCTGCTTTCCTCGTGCATAGAATGTCCTAATAGTTTACAAGCCATAGTTGCGAAATCAAAATTTCTTTGCTTTTATTTTCTTGAAATTCGAGCTGATTAGACATTGGGGATGACTAGGTGGTGGACGGTCCGCGTCGTCGCCCGTAGTGTTCCCGAAAGAAGACAAGCAGAAGCAGCCATAGCAACCGCCATCTCAAGTTGCTCAACACCACTGCGGGGCAGTGGCAGTGCGGCCGGAGGCGCAAAACTGCGGGCGCCTAAGGCCATGACCTCTCTGACAGAGCCAACGCGCACCCAGGCTCTGCTGTCGCTGCTGTCCCCTGCCGCCACCCGCCCCCGACCCGCATGAAGCGCCTGCTGCTGTTCCTCGCCGTCCTCACCCTCAGCGCACTCCTCCTCCTCTCCTGGTCCGCTGGCTACACCGCCCCCGCCGCCGCCTGGTGGTCCGCCCGCGCGTCCTCCTCCCCGCCGCATCCTACGCCAACCCGGCCGACGCTTCCTCGCCGTGGTTCCGCGACACCGACCCCGCGCGCAGCGCTGCGCACTTCCTCGCCCGTGCGCAGTCCGAGATCGCCGCACGCGCACTCGACACCTGCAATGGCAAGCTCGGCGACAGCATGGTGTCCGCGTACCTCGCTGCCACGACGCCCTACTGCGCTGGCCCGCGGCGAAGCATAACGTGTTTCCCCGTGCGCGCGCAGGGGAGCGCGAACGCCTGGTGGCCGTACCCGCAGTCCTTCTGCGCCTCCGCAAACCTCTCGCACACCCCCGGCTTCGGCGGCGACATGGCGCACCGCGGCGTCTTCACGGCGCAGTGCGCCCGCACGCCCGCCGGCGACGCGCTCTTCGCCGACATGGGCCCCGAGGTCTTCCTCGGCACCGAGTTCCGCGAGGCTGCGGCCGACACGCCGTCCGAGTGCACCGAGACGATCGCGCACCCGCTGCTGTTCGTCCCGCGGCAGGACCGCTGGAACCCGTTCCACGTCGGCGAGGACCTCGTCACGACCTTTCTCGCGTTGACGCTCTTTGCGCGCACGCACCCGCCCGAGGAGACGGCGCCCCTCCAGCTCGTGTTCACCGACGATCACCTCCCCACCGCGTCCCTCTTTGCGCCGCTGTACGACCGCATCGGCGCGTTCCCCCCGCGCAGGACTGCCGCGGATCCGTTTCCTGAGGGTGCGTGTTTCCATCTACTTTCACATCCTCCTTCCCTGGTTCCTGCTTCGGTATCATCCATCCCTTCCCGTCCTCCTGCCACCCCATACCCCTGCCCTTTCCCGTTATTATCTCTTCTCTCTTTCTCCCCTCCCCCTCCCTCTTAACAAACAAACCACTCACCCCCGCCCACCCAGGCACCACCTGCCTCCGCACCGCGTTCCACTCCGTCGGCGCGGGCGCGAGCCTCCTCAGCGGCACGGGCGTCGGGAGCCCCTTTTCGTGCGCGAGCGCGCTCGTGTGGGGCGCGGGCCTGTGGCTGCGCGGCGTGTGGGGGCTCGAGCCGTTTGGGGACGCGGATGCGGGGGTGGCGCGGCGCGGCGAAGAAGGGAGGAGCATAAGTCGGGTGTGGGGCCGCGCGCCGCTAGACAGCGCGGCGACGTACGAGGCGCTGCCGCCCGTGCAGGTGCTGTTTCTGTCGAGGGCCAAGTTCGATGCGTTTACGAAGTGCGTATGCTTTCTTTCTTTCGCCTTCACTGTTTCTTTTTGCCTACACCACATCCCTCGGCGCGCGGCCTTCGCGTCAGTCGGCTCTGCGCACCTGCGCGTTGGCCGTGCGCTCCCTTGTCCCGCCCTTTCCAGTCTGCGTCTCCGTTGCTCTCCCCTCTCCATTCCCTGCGTGCCCCGTTATCCTTCCTCGTCCTTCGCTTGCTCGCGATTCCGAATCCGCCGTGCCACCAGTCTGTGCTTGCACGCCCGGCATCGGCAGCGGTGCACACCCCCCGCCTCCCGCCCATTGTCCGCTTCCCCCTTGCCTTTCCGTCCCCTTCTCCCCCTCCCCCCTCTTGCCTCCCCCACGCACGCACGCACGCTAACCCCACCCCAGACACACGACCAAGAAGCTCACGATGTGGCAGGAAGCACGGCACATCACGAACGAGGGCGCACTCGTCGCGGGGCTGCGGGACGCACTCGCGGGGCTGTGTCGGGCGAGGACGGGCGAGGGGGGAGGTGCGTTTTTTGCCCCTTTTATGTGGCTGGGAGGGAGGGGAAGGGAAGGGGATTTGGTGCCAATAGGGTGTGCGAGGATGGGGAGCGTTTTCTGTCGCGCCCCCTGCCCTGGCGGCCGTCCGCAGCCTGTCCACGCGCTGTCTTGCCCTCTTTGTTGGGGGCACGTGGGTGGAAGCGCACGCGATGGGGTGCGCCAGTGCCGACGACGCGGTTCTCGTCTCGAAAGAGGAGGGCGCGTGCTTTTCGCTCCCTCTCCCCTTCTCCGCGTCCTGTCTTTGTCTCTCTTATAACGTCCCACGACACTGACACCTACAACAGGACACGCAACGGGCACCGGGACACACGACTGCACCTACACGGACGTGGACGCGCTGCCGGACACGTGGGGCGTGGGGCTCGACGCACGGGAGGTGCGAGCGCTCGGCGTGGAGTGACGTCTCCGTCCTCGTCCTCGGGTAGCGCAAACGCACATAAGCAACGGCGGGACACCGGAAATACAACCACAGATCTCGGGAAGCGCGCGGCGGGCACGCGCGCGCTTGCGCTTCATGACGCTCGACCCAACGACGGCGGCGCTCGCGGCGCAGCTCGGCGCGGTCGGGCGCGCGGACGTGGTCGTGAGCGTGCACGCCGGCGCGCTGGGGCTCGCGCTGTTTATGCCGACGGGGCGCGCGAGTGTCGTGGAGCTGAGTACGCCGACGGCGGGTGGGGTAAGTGCTGTCTTTGTTCACTAGTTTCTGTCAAGCCCTTTCGTCCTTCGTCCCAATCCTTATT